TCCAGCGGCCCTGGGCCCAGGCTCCATTAACCCAAATGTAGCTCCTTAGCGCTAACCTAGGAACCACCACTGCCTGCTGAGGGGCCAGGCCCCTCATGCCCTTGCCCCAGGCCTGGGTCCTTCAGCGTTGAACACTTCCTTGCTTTTTTCACATGTTTTATGGAATTGTTCACATGGTTTGAAATAATAAAATGTAGAAAGAAAAAAATATCAAGAACTGCTGGGTATTCTCTCTTGTGAACAAGGACAGAGTCAAGATGGGCCAGGGATTTAGCTCAGTGGTGCCACCTGCCTCGCAAGCACAAGATCCCAAGTTCAATCCTTGGTGGTGCCTTTGATCCTGACATCAGTCCTCACCTGGGACAGAGCCCTGTGTGCTCAGCTTTCCAGGCCAAATGCTCTGAGCTTCCGTTTTCCCACTTGGACTGGTCAGCAGACATGCTGGGGCCCATGTGTCCCCCATCTCCTGATTCTGCAGCTTTGGTTCTGCAACAGCCTTCAAGACTGGCAGAGGAGGGCTGGGGATTTAGCTCGTGGCACCGCACCTGCCTTGCAAGCTCAAGGTCCTGAGTTCGATCACCAGTACCAAAAAAAACCTGGCAGAGCAGCTGGGCAGGCTCCCTGAGCTCTCCCCCCGCCCCAATACTGGGGATTAAACCCAGGGCCTTTCCCCTGAGCTACATCCCCAGCCCTTTTTTATTTTTATTTTGAGACTGGATCTCACTAAGTAACTTAAGATGTCCAGTCTGGCCTCAAATTTGAGATCCTCCTGCCTCAGCCTGAGTCCTGGTATTACAGGCATCCACCATCAGGGCTTTGGGCTCTTACCAGGTTTTTCTAAAGGGTTCTTGCACATTGGGAGCAAGAGGGGTATCCAGCCAGCCTCTTGTGCAGGAGATGGTGACTTTTGACTTCCTAGACCCAAAGCTCCAGAAAGTGTGAAGTGTACAGTGACAAAGCCATGTGGGCTGTAGACCTCTGGCTTAACTAAGCATCTCTGCCCAGCAATCACCCTCCCCCACCAAACCTGAGGGGTGGAGTTAGGCAGTTGGCCACACTATGGCTATTATGCATTGGGCCTGAGGCTCTGAATATGGAGGAAAGTGCCAACGATGGAGGCCTGTGGGTGGGCCCCGAGTGCCAGGCGAGACGCCTGAACTTTCTTCAGTGGACAGCAGGGGAAGCCATAGGATAAACCTACCAGGAGCGCCCAGAGAGCCTCTACGCAGGGCGGGACTCAGACTGGCGTCTCCGCCTCCGGTCGCCAGGGGGCGCCGCAGCTCTTGCTCCGCGACGCCCGCCGCTCACAGAGGCTGACGTCACCAGGTCCCACAGAGGCAGCCCCGGCACAAAGGAAGCTTTGTGAGGCGAAGGCGGCCCGCGCCCGCTGCGGGGCAAAGCGGGCTGGGCTGGGGACGGGCTGGGGTCAGCGCCGCGGAGGCGGGGAGGGAAGGGATTGAGCTCCACCTCCACACACCTGCCAGTGGCCTGCGGTCACGGGCGGGTGCTGGCCGGAGACGAGAGGCTGCGGCCGCCCGGTCGGAAGGAAATCGGCTCCCCCGCCGCCGCCGCCTGGTGCCCGCCCCGGTCCCCGGGCGCTTCCGGGCCCATCCTCGGATCCCTGCCCTCCACCAGACCCTGGTTGAGCCCAGATGCCCGGTCGCCGCCATACCCGCCCCGCAGGAAGTGGCTCCGAAGACAGTTCCTTCCTTCTGTCCTGAGGGAGAACCCTGCACAGAGGGACTATTGAAGGGCCCGCATTGTTTGTCCGGCGCACCCAATGTCTCCCTCCCTGGGTGGGCCATGCAGGCTCTGGCCAGGATCTCCCCCCATCTTGTGCCCTACTTGGCAGTGGGTTTAGGTGGGATCCTGGCAGCAACGCTTCCCTGGGTGCAGACAGCTAGGCCCCCACCTGCCCTCAGCCCTCCAACCCAGATCTCCGGTATCCAGGGCATAAGGCCCCATTGTCCCACAGGGGTGGGGATGGCTTCTCAAATAGCCTTGTCTTTGGCAGTTGGGAAACTCCCTGCCATGGCGGGTGGCAAGCAAGAGGGACCGTCCAGGTATCCTGCTGGATGGACTCCATGAGGAGAGCATCCCCCAACTGTCTAGAGCTATCCAGTGTGGGGCTCAACTAGTCCTCATTCCTTGGGGTCCGCTGAGTAAGGACAGCCAGAAATTCAGGGGTCCCTGTCCTGTCCCCAGGGCACTCCCACCCTGAGGTCTGTCTTCCTGTCCACATCATGGGCAGCTGCAGCTATGTGGCCAAGGACCTTTAGTAGGGCATGCACAGCCAGGTGGGGACCCAGGGTTCTGCTCTCAGTATGGGGTGGGAGGTGTCACCAGTTTGTTGAGATTGTCACGTGGTTGATGTGCCTCCAAAAGGGCCTGGCCAACTTGAAACAGTTGCTTGAGTTACTGATGTGGTGGCAGCCTTGGTATTTTTAACCCATTTGGGGGATAGGGCAACAGCTGGGAAGAGACAGGCAAGCTCTAAGAGTCAGAGGCCCAAAGAGGGTAAGTTTTGGGATATCTTGTGGGAAGGAGGTAGGCAGATGACCTCTCTTCAGTTCTCCAGGCCCAGCAGATGGGTGGAGGCCCAAATGCCAGCTGCAGAATAGGGAAGGGCCCCTCCTCAGGGTTAGAGCTATGGCCTCTGAGCCTGCAGGAGCTTCCACAGGCTAGAGGAACCCTCTTTGTGGTCCACAGCAGACTCATGGCTTCAGAGGGTTGGGGGGATACAAGTCCCATGGCAGAGGTGAGGACCCTAGGATCTCCTTTACAGTAGTAGACGCAGGAATTGGGTCAGTGTTTGGGGATGAGTTCGGACCCAGAATCTGCCAAAAGATGCTGTAGTTCTGTCCTTGCCCCTCCCTAACTTCCAGCGTCACTTGCACCTGGCTGACCATGCCGCTGGCCAGGCAGTTGGAGTTAGAGCTTGTGGCTGGCTTGGCACTCTGGGTCTGAGGGTGTGTATGGAATGATTTTGAGACTGAGGTGAGTAGATTTTCCTGACATTTGAAGCCATGAGTCTGCTCTGGAACATGCCTTCTCCATTGGTCCCCTTTGAGACCCAGCAGGCCCAGGGAAGTGGAAGGGCTTTCTGCAGGCATGCTCTTGCTGCCTCGCTGTGTCTGAGTTCTGGGATCCCCAGGAATGATAGCCTCTGCTGCTCCCCCCATAGTGGGGGTCCTGACCTGAGGCTTGGACCTGGCACTATAGGGGTCTGGGGCTTCACAGAGGAAGGGTGATAGCTGAGGTTGATTGTGAATGGTGAAGAAGAGTCCAGCAGGTGTCTTTTTAGGGGAAGGACCTAAAGGATGGAGGACACAGCCCAAGTAAAGTCTTGACAACCAAAGAGCTGTTGCATCCCAGAAATGAGGCAGCTCAGGAGCACTGGCAGAATGGGCAGGGCTGAGCTAGGGAGGGTGCCATGAATGACCAGCCCTGACCCAGCCTAAGTCCAAATGTTTACAGGGAGCCTCCTACCCTTTCCCCCCCTCACACTGCTACACTGCTCGGAGGCCCCAAAGGAAAAAGCACAAGAAGCATGAGATGCCACCATTCCCGGAGACCACAAGTCCACCTGCTCATTCTCATAGCTTTTTTAAAAAAATGAAAGTAAAGGAAAAAAACCCCTGCAAACTTAGAAAACTTTTTAGAGAAATATTTAAAACTGTCAGATCCTGACCAGCACCCACCCGACCCCCATTCCAGTGATTCCGTGCCTTGAGTGTGTCCGTGCCATGAATGACAGACCTGCAGCCCCTACCAGCTCCTACAAGCTCTGAGTCAGGGGAGCAGGGGAGCAGGGAGGGTACTACAGAGAGGACACAAAGGGAGAAGAGTGGTAGAATGACCCCAGCCAGGGACACAGCCTGGAGTAGAGTGAAGAGGTCAGGTCTCAAGACACCACGGGAGGGAGGAGGAGGTGGGAACTTGTCCTATCTTTTGCAGGACAAAAGGACCTCTCAGGACTCCCGAAAAGGACTGGGCTTGGGAACTGCCAGTGGGTTGAAGACTTGTGGAGTGACAGTCTGCGGAGTATCCAGGGGTGGGAGAAGCTCAGGTGGAACCCTGGGGACAGGGGTCAGAAGGTCAGGTCAGGTGGAAGAAGTGCTTGTGCTTGGGTGAGGGAGAGATGGAGGGCAGGAGAAGAGTTGACCAGAGAGAGAAAGGGAGAGGCCAGATGGCAGGGCAGCTGGGATCTGTTTTCTTCGAGGCTCTCATTGACCTAGATGGCCCAGGGAGCCAGAGCTGAGGTGGCGACAAAGCACACCTACAGTGCCTCTACCGTATATCAGACCTCCTTGGCCTGGTGGTCACAGATTCAGGGAGATGAGTGCTCTGAGAGGTTTGGTTCAGTCTGCAGTGAGGGCCACACTGGTGGGTTAGTTGCATGTGTTAGACTCAACCCTACCTCACCTGCTGCACCGAGGGTGCCAGTCCCTAGGCAGCTCCAGTGCAACCCCCAGCACTGCCTCACTGGAGCAACAGAGGCCCCCACCAGCCAGCCAACCTGGGAGGCTCTCTAACCCACTTAGGGAATGTAGTATTTATGTTAATATCTCTAATTAGTACAGAGTGCCAGTTGAGGCCACTTCTGCAGCATTCTTTGCACAGCCCCTCTCTACCCGCCTACCAAGGCTCTGGAATGAAGAGGGAGGCCCCACCCCCTGCCCCTTTTCCTCACCCCACCCTGCTGGGCAATGAAGAAAACAGGAGTGAGTGAAGAGCTGTGATGTGGCTGGTTGGGGGGGCTCCCCTATCCCAGAGGGGCTGACCTCAGTCTGGGAGGAATGTGCAGGAGGCGGAGGGAGGGCAGGGGCGGAGCGGGTGGGGGCTGGGCCACAGCCCAAGGCCCAGGATTCTTGGTAGCCCCTCCTTCAGCCCCTCCATCTCTGCTGTGACATGGCCCTCAGAAAGGAAGGGATACAGGCAAGGAGGGGAGGAGCTGACCTTTCAAAACAGGTGGGCCGGTTACCCCTGTGAATGTGAGAACCAGGCTGGGGTTGCGCGGGGGTGGGGGGGGGTAGTGCTCTGGCTGACCCTTTCCCAGGAGTCTCAGTAGGGCAGGTTTGAATTAATGTCAGGGAAGGTAGGCCTCAGGTGATGTTGGGGCTCTCCAGAGCCGCCTCCCCAACCCTGCCTAAGTCCTCAGGGCTGTACGACCCAGTGCCCATGTGACCAACAGCCAAAGGTTGCGAGGAGGAGCCACAAGCCTTGATTACTAAAGCTGGTGTGAACAGTGAGTCCTAGACCCCATCCAACCCAGGTGTGGATGTAAGGATGGAGCCACACCCCACAGTGCCAACCCCATCCAACTGGCAGGATTGCCGTAGCCTCCTTCAGATGTGTGTCCTACGCTAGCCACATCACTCAGAGTCCAGGCAGGGTGCAGGGGGGCAGGCCCAGCTGGTAATGAGGGGTGGGGAGGCAGGTGCCGGGCCTTGGCACAACAGTCCAGTTATTTCCAGAGGGAAAAGCCAAAGTCTGCAAACAGAGCCAGAACCCAGGCAGTGAGAAGTAGGGGCCGGAGAGGCTAGGGTGACCCCAAGTGCAGGGGTACAGGCAGCTGCCTGGTTTTCTGATTCTGTTGAGACCCAAGCCCAGGCAGCCTGATTCCAGAGTCCTTAGGAGCTTTTTCAGGAAACTCACTGAGTGCTGCTCTGTGGCTTGGCACACTGGGACCTGGGGCTAATGAGCAGAAAGGAGACCCTGTGGGGACAAAGACAACTTGAGCTCCCATTCCTCTGGGAACTTCTTTCCTATTCAAGGGAGGAGATATCTGGAGGAGGGAAGGTAGCACCCAGGCCTGGGGACTGAGTCCTGAGCTGTTGGAAAGATAATGGGGGTCCTGGTCCGGTTCCCCGATGTGAATGCAGGGTTGGGGAGAGAAAGGAATAAAACAGAGGCTGGGAGCCTGGGTCTGGAGAGCTGAAAGAAGTGGGGCCAGAAGGGCACACAGGACGGGTGGGGAGAGCCCTCAAAGACACTTGCTGATTTTGGCTGCTGGAGCAGAAAAACAGCCCAAGAATTTTGTTTGCTTGCATGGGGTCAGGAGAAGCTGCCCAGGTCCAGAGGAAAGACACCTTTGCCCAGGAGTAGGCAAAGATGCATCCTGGAAACCCCTCCTTGTCATCCCTGATCCTCTTGCTGGCTCCTGTTTTTCACCTGCCAGCTGGTCAGGTCAGTCCAGGGACACAGCTCTTAGAGCTCAGGAAGAAGAGGCATGGCCCTGAAGTGGACACTAGGGACTTGGAGATGGGTCTCCCCCACCTCTGGCCTTGTCTCACTGAAAGCACCCAGGAGATAGGCGACAAAACTGTGCGCACTGGAAGTGTCTGCACAACCTCACCGACAGTCCTTCCTGAGTAACTGCTGCCCAGCCTCAGGTGGCAGGAGGGTGCCTCTGGGGGGACTGAGGGGTCACAGCCCACCCTCAAGCCCTGACACCTTCACCCAGGCCATTGGCAATATGAGCCCCTCCAAGGTGGAAGCCCTTGCAGTGCAAATAGGATGTGTCCACCAGGGCTTGTCTTCAGGACAAGACCCCCGGCCCTTGCCACCAACCCTCCCTCAGGTACCTGGCTCTGGTTTTGACCTAGGAAGAGAGGCTGAGTCAGGGAGGTCAGGCAGTCCGCACTCCCCTCCCAGCAGGGATGCAGGAGCACTGGTCCAGGTGTGGGTATAAGGATGGGGCCACACCCCACAGTGCCAAAGTGAGACTTGCTGGAAGATTGTGCCTGCCTCTCCCCCGACTTGCCCCCTGGGCTGTCATCACAGCTGGGCCAGGCAGCTGAAGTACTAAATGGTCCAACTGGGGAGGAAGGACTGGGGTCAGTCCTGGGGTTCTGTCTGACCTCCCACCCAGCTTACTCCTAGGAACTGAGGCAGCAGCTAAACTCCCATTATTCTCCCTTGACACCCCAGCTGTGGAGGGACAGGTGAGGAACTAGAGTCCCTTCAATCCCTTCTGCCTGTTGCAGGGAGCTGCTGGAGCTGAGGTAGGGGGTAGTCTCTGTTGCTTCCTCCTCTGACTGGTATCGGGCCACGCTGAGTGCCTGGGCCTGGAACACCCCTCACTTTCAGACCCAGCTGGGCAGGGGTCATCCCTACTCTCCCTTCCCTTGTGCCCATTCCACTCTGGATGCCTTCTCCAGCCATCCAGGCTGCCTGCCCAGTCACCCGATCCACCCTGCAGCCCTGCAAACTTTACTACAGCGTCATGGGGCGGTGGCTGGCCTGGTGGGGGCTGGGGCTGCTCCTTAAAGGAGCCATCAGAAGGTGCCCTGCAGCCCCCAGGCTTCTCTCCTTCCCCAGGGCAGAAGGGGCTGGGGAGCGGAGGCACCTCTGCTGAGTTCTCAATGGCATGTGAGAAGGCTGCCAGGTGGCAGTTTCGAAGATCTCTGCAGCCCAAGAAGCGACAGTGGCAAGTGTCAGCGGATGGAAGGAGGGAGGTGGGGTCCTGGCCTGGGAGGGGTCCGGGAGCTGAGGAGCTGGGCAGGGATGGTGGTGGAGGGGTCTGACACCTGCCCCAGCAGCTGCTTCCCTTGCTTGATTTCACCCTGGGACCTTGCCCCACCCCAGGGCTCCTGTGCAGGCACCTGCCCGGCCTGCTTCTGGGAAGGACAGTGGGCAGGGCAGCTGGATCCTCACCCCACCTAAGGGACCCAAGGAAGTCCACTGAGGTGGAGGGGGAGGCTTAGGGAGCATGGATGCTCTGAGCAGGGACAGCATCCCCACCAGGAGCCTGTGGAGAGAGAGCGGCCGCTTCACCCTGCCCCTCATGTCTTTGGGTCTGACGCCTGAGCTCACAGAATCCCTGTGACCAGGAGCAAAGAGGGAGCAGCCCAAGTGCACAGCTGGGTTTGTGGAGAGCAGTGTCAGGTAAGGGCTGAGGCAGTTGCCCAGCCTGGGCCGTCCCTGGGTCTCCAGGCAGCGCCTCTCCCTCTGAGGCATGGGTCCCATTGGAGTCTTGGGATCTTAGTGATGCATTTGCTCACTTACACACTCATTGAGACACACAAATTATGTGTATACACACATGCTTGCATATGCACAAATATGTGACACATGTACAAACATGCACACAGTGCATAGATGTGCACACAGTACCACACATGCATACACACACATTGGCAAACTTAGCCCATATCTACACAGGCCCGATACAACCATGTTTGGGAATAGACATGTATACATGCACACCCATGCACACACACACTATATACATGCACACACTTGCAAAGGGACTCAGAAACATTCACACTGACAGGCACCCGCAGCCTTGACTCCAACCTCAAAGGGCCTCTGTGTTTCTCTGTGGGTCTGGGGTCCACAGCCACCTCCAAAGGCCTGACCCCTCCTGTGGCACCCACTCGCCATTGGCTTGCTTTACTCTTGCACTTGCTGCCCTCTGAGATGACTCCAGGTCCTGATCCCTGTTGGCATCCTGCCTGCTCCCTCATGGGGCCCTTGTCTATGTCTCCCAGAATCCCAGCCCCAATCACAGGCTGGCATCAAGTGGGCACACAATGCTTGTGATTAATGTCTGTGAGTGTGTATACAGGAGGGGAGGTTACTGGGGAGGGTGACGTGGTGGGGCGGGCGCCTGCTAGTGCATGGTGACCCTAAGGGTGTGCCCAGCGTGGGTGTGTCTGTGATTATGGCATGGGGGGCACCCTCCGAGGAGGGGAGGGCTCAGAAGCGGGAATGTGACCCCCCAGCCTCTTTCCCCAGGGGCTGTAATCTGATCCCTGGGGACTCCCCCCCCCAGCCTCCCGCCCTCGCTGCCCTCATTGCTGCCGACTCCTTCTCTTCCAGATCCTGGGGCAGAGTCCAGGGAGGCTCAAGGCTCCTCCACACACAACCGCTGAATCCTGAGCGCCCTGAGCTGCCGGCATGGGGCGTGCCGAGGCCGCCGCCATGATCCCAGGCCTGGCCCTGCTCTGGGCAGCGGGGCTGGGGCTAGCTACCTCCAGCCCTCCACGCCTTCGGCTCTCCTTTCAAGGTAGGTGCACCTGGCAGGCAGGAGGGCCTGGCTCAGGGTGAGCAGGAAAGGGGCCCAGGGTGATAGGGGGCTCTGGCGTTGGTCATTGTCCTATGTGTGTGCCTGTCACTGACAGGGGGGCCATTCTCAGGCCATCTCCGGTTAACCCTGTCCGGGCTTCAGCCCCAAACTCTCTGCCACATTCCCAGGAAGCCCCCTCCTGTTCCCATAGTAACAGACCTTGACTCTGTCCCATTCCCTTACCCCCAAGTGGGCCATAGGGCAAGACGAAAGTCAAAGTTTGGGGCCCTTGAGAGACCCCTTCTCACACCCTCTGCACAGAGAGGTGGTTACTAGACAGCAGCTTAGGGTAGGCAATTCTGCTGAGCCCTAGTTGGTGGCAGGGTGACTGGAAAGGAACCTTCACCCTTTAGGGGGTTGTCCCTCCCTGCTGAGCCTCCCCCAGAGCCTTGGTGTCCACAACCCTGGCCTCCCAATGCACCCGCCTAGAGACACCGCTTGTCAGAACACACGTTCCTCAGCCTACTTTCCTCTTCGTGGGGGCTGCACCACCCACTCTGGAGCTCCACACATGCACCTGGGTGGGCCTGTCTTCATATGTGTAAGCTCACATATCACCCACATGTGTAGGGGCCAGTTCACATGTGGAAACAGTCTGTAGAAAGATGACCAGGCAGGGCCTAGGGGAGGCTTTGGCCATGGCAAGCGAGTCCTCAGTGGTGTTCCCCACTTGCAGAGCTCCAGGCCTGGCATGGGCTCCAGAACTTCAGGCTGGAGCGGACCTGTTGCTATGAAGCCTTGCTGGTAGACGAGGAGCGTGGGCGCCTGTTTGTGGGTGCTGAGAACCATGTGGCCTCACTCAGCCTGGACAACATCAGCAAGCAGGCCAAAAAGGTACCAGGGACCCCTAACCTCAGTGCTGCCCAACAAAAGAACCCTAGCACCCCAATCCAAACTGCCTTGAAAGGCCCAAAGGGGATGGGTTTCCCCAGTGGAAAGACCTGTGGGGTATATCTCAAGTCCATGACCTGTGTTTTCCTCTATCCCACCCACCCGTAGCTGTCCTGGCCAGCCCCTGTGGAATGGCGGGAAGAGTGCAACTGGGCAGGGAAGGACATTGGTGTGAGTGCCAGCTACCAGGGTGAGGGTGCGGAGGCTGGGCCCCATGCCCCAGAGATAGGGCAAGACTCAGACAGAAGCCTGCCTGTTGTGGCTGGGAGGAGGGCAGGGAGGTCGAGGTGGCTGAGGTCTGGAGGTGGTGAGTCAGGGTACACGCTCATGTGATGCTTGGTGGCCTGTGAGTCAGGGGGGTTGTGCAGCTCTGTGCTTCTCCATGTACCCACCCTGGGAGGGGTAAAGGGTGAGGGGTGGGTTGGGCTGGTCACCAAGGGCACTCAGGTCCCAGCAGACCATGTCAGTACTTGCCTGGGCGACTTCAGAAAAGAGACAGAGGTGATGATGGTGTGGTGGGCAGGAACCCTTGGGCCACCTTCCAGAGGAAGCCTCATTGCCCCAACACTACTGTTCACTAGACTGAGTGCATGAACTTTGTGAAGTTGCTCCATCCCTACAACCACACACATGTGCTAGCCTGCGGCACAGGGGCCTTCCACCCCATCTGTGCATTTGTGGAAGTGGGCCACTGGCTGGAGGTAAGGCCTGATCTAGTCAGGGGAGGGTGGGAGGGTGAAAGAAGGGATGGTCACAATAACTCCTGTCTCCCAGGAACCCGTACTCTGGTTGGAACCAAGAAGGTTTGAGGATGGCAAGGGGAAGAGCCCCTATGACCCCAGGCATCGGGCAGCCTCCGTGCTGGTAGGTGAGTCCAAAGGCTGGTATCTTGACAAAACTAGTGTCCCTTGGAAATTCTAGAACCTCGAAAATCCCAACACCCCAAGGCACCAGGGATCCCCATAGCTCACTGACTCCCAGAGAGCCCCCAGAGCTCCCCAGGCCCTCATACCCAGGAGCCCCAGCTTGACTGAGCAGCCCTTGCACTATCTCCAGGGGAGGAGCTGTACTCAGGGGTAGCAGCAGACCTTATGGGCCGGGACTTTACCATCTTCCGCAGCCTGGGCCAACGACCAAGTCTCCGAACAGAGCCACACGATTCCCGCTGGCTCAACGGTGAGAGGCTGGTGAGCCAGTGGGAGGGGGCTGCCACCCTTCCACAGGGCAGGGGCCAAGCAAGGATAAAATAAGTGAGCATTGGTCACAGTGAGGTCTTCCCAAGTAGCTACCATAATCAGGCCCCATGCCAGGTACTGGGGTCACAGGGACAGGCACAGTAAGTATGGATCATGCTGTTGTTGAGTTCACAGATTTCATAACAAATACATGAGAAGACCAATTTCAATGACCATGAGGCTCATGAGAGAATAGAAAGGAAGGGAAGAAGAAAATGGGTTGGAGGAAGGAAGCCACCTTATTGAGGTATGAGTTAATTCCCAAAGCACAAACCAGCCAGCTAATAGAACTGAAAGAAGAGCATTCGAGGTAGAGGTAACAACTAGTCCAAAGGCCCTGAGGTAGGAACAAAACAAAGAAACAGATTTATGGAGTTAGCAATGACAAGGGGACAACACTGTCAGGAGCTGGAATAGTTTATTCTAATGCATGGGACCCAGAAGGAGAATTGGAAGCAGGAATGGGGATCATCTGATGTGACAGGGAGAAAGATTTATGAGTGAAGGTGAAACTGGATACTTTGTCTTTTCTTCCCAGGCCTAAGCCTGGGGAACTGTAAAGGGCAAGATTAGAGGCTGCCGGGTTGCCCCGCCTGCTTTCTCAGGTAGTCCAGTCTCTGCTGCCCCCTCGTGGCCACTTCGTGCCTCACAGGGTTTGATCTTGGAATAGGTCCCGAGCGACTTGTCAGATGATGCCCAGTACAGCTGCAGACCTTAAGGGGAGGGGATGCTGCCAGTGGGACTGATGTCAGGGTAGAGGCACAAAACCACTGATCCCACCTCCTGTTGTGGCTAGAACCCAAGTTTGTCAAGGTCTTTTGGATCCCGGAGAGTGAGAACCCAGACGACGACAAAATCTACTTCTTCTTCCATGAGTTGGCAGTGGAGGCAGCACCAGTTCTGGGGCGCCTGACAGTGTCTCGAGTAGGCCAGATCTGTCGGGTGAGGATCACTGGGTCACTCACTCCCTGGCAACCTTGTCCCACCCTTTGCCTGCTGGGGTCCTGCTCTCATACCCTTGGATCATTTTGGTAGAATGACATGGGTGGCCAGCGAAGCTTGGTTAATAAGTGGACGACATTCCTGAAAGCACGGCTGGTATGCTCCATGCCTGGTGTGGAAGGGGACAGTCACTTCGACCAGCTCCGTGAGTGCCTGGGGTGGAAGGTGGGATGAAGGCAGGGATCGGGGGTGCAGACTCCAGGAGCCCAACTGGGCCAGAGAAGCTGTGCTCCTCCTCAGCCTGGGCCTTTCCCTGCAGAGGATGTGTTTCTGCTGTCCTCTCGGGACCCCCGGAACCCGCTGCTCTACACTGTGTTTTCCACGTCCAGGTGAGGGGCAAGAGGGAGTCCCTGGGTCAGGGTCATCTGAGCTCTCTGTGGGCCTCACTCTGCTCTTGTCGTTACTTGCAGCAGCATCTTCCAGGGCTCTGCTGTGTGCATGTACAGCATGAACGATGTGCGCCGGGCCTTCCTGGGACCCTTTGCACACAAGGAGGGGCCCACATACCAGTGGGTGTCCTACCAGGGCCGTGTCCCCTACCCCCGGCCTGGCATGGTGCGTAGCTAGAGGACTCCTGCTGCAACACATTTCAAAGCCGCAAGTGTACAGAACCTGGCCTGGGGTCTTCTTGGTGAATGTGGTTTCTTTGTTATGGATGGGAAAGGTTACCACCTTCAGACAGGGATATTGTGGGAAAGCTGTGTTTTGTTCCCATCTTTAGCCTGAGGTTCAGTCTGAGCCTCCCCAGGACACAGCTCAAATCTCCTGAGCAGCACTCTGTTGCCTTCCGCATTCCATATCCCCAGAAGGCATTCCATGTTGCCCTTGCCTATATCCCTACTTGCTTTCCTCCATGCCCTCCCTAGTGCCCCAGCAAGACATTTGGCACCTTTAGTTCCACCAAGGACTTCCCTGACGACGTCATCCAGTTTGCTCGGAACCACCCTCTCATGTACAACCCCATCCTGCCCATTGGTGGGCGGCCTGTCTTCATGCAAGTGAGTGCCGGTTATACCTTCACTCAAATCGCTGTCGACCGTGTAGCAGCTGCTGATGGACACTATGACGTCCTCTTCATTGGTACAGGTTAGGGCCCACAGTGACACCCAGAACCCCATTTAGGCTCTTTTTGTTGCCTGTCAGTCTTATCTCCACATCTTTTCTTGGGCTGTGCCCCCACATTCTAGATGCTTCCCTGATTGTTCCAAACCATATTCTTCACCTCTTCATAACCAACCATGCTGAGAGTACAGGTCTCAGAGGCAAGGGACTCTGGCTCTTGCTATCAGGTTAAACCAGTGGCCACACCCCTTTCTCTTCCCTGCAGATGTGGGAACAGTGCTAAAGGTGATCTCAGTCCCCAAGGGCAACCAGCCAAGTTCTGAGGGGCTGCTTCTGGAGGAGCTGCACGTGTTTGAGGTGAGGCTTCACCTTCCAGTTGCCTAGCCCTTCCTCCCCAACACACTAAGTCCTGATCCCAGTGCTTTTCCTCTCTTTCAGGACTCAGCTGCTGTCACCAGCATGCAAATCTCCTCCAAGAGGGTAAGTGACCAGAAGGGTGGGGGCTGGAAGGGACTGAGCTTGTGATCAAGATGCCCCATCCTCCTCACCCCATCTTGCCCCTGGTAGTTCACAGTCCTTGGTTTGAGTAGAAGCACTGTGTGACTTGAGCAAGACCTCAGAGTTCCCATCTGTCAAATGGGGGAAGGGATCCCTGCCCAATGGGAGGCACACAAGGAGCCACCCTTGGTCAGCCAGGAGCCCTTCCTGCCCTCCAGCACCAGCTGTACATAGCCTCGCGGAGCTCAGTGGCCCAGATCTCCTTGCATCGTTGTGCAGCCCATGGCCGCGCCTGCGCAGAATGCTGTTTGGCACGCGACCCCTACTGTGCCTGGGATGGGGCCAGGTGTACACGCTTCCAGCCTAGTGCCAAGAGGTGGGTGGAATCAGGATTCCGCTGGGATGCATGGGAAAGGAGGGCTTTTGCCACCCAGGAGGCTGGAAGCAGGGCTCATGAGGTTCCAATGTCCCCCCAGGCGGTTCCGGCGGCAAGACATACGGAATGGCGACCCCAGCACGCTTTGCTCTGGGGGTGAGTGTCCCATCTGCCGCATCCTCAGCCCCTAAAGATGCCCCACGCCTCCTTGCCCTGCTGAATTTGCATTCTCCTCATCCAAAGACTCGTCCCGTCCTGTGCTGCTGGAGCGAAAGGTCTTCGGGGTGGAGGGCGGCAGCGCCTTCTTGGAGTGTGAGCCCCGCTCGCTGCAAGCACACATGGAGTGGACTTTCCAACGCACAGGGGAGGCTGCTCACGCCCAGGTCAGCCTCACTCTGGCCTCCTGGCCAGGCTCCTACATCCAGGAGATGTCTTGCCCTGCCTAATGAGGTCCATGGCTGGCACCCCACCCAAGTCTAGGTGAAGTCAGCCCAACCAGACCTCCTCACCTGCACGGCACCCATGGGCCCTTGACCTGGACTCTGTCCACGTGAGGTCTCACTGTGTCCAGCTAGGCTTGTGACCTGTCCTCCCATCGTTGGGTGTAGGCCTGCCTTTGAGCTGCCACTGAGGTTCCTGCCCTGGCCCCACATCCTAGTGAACCTGCCCCCATTCGGATCTTCATTCACTACAGCCAATGTGCAACCCACCTTCAAGTGCACCTGTGGGTGTATGTTCCCCATTACCCTTTGGCTCCCAGGAGCCTTGTGCTCGGTTCCCACCCTCATGCCACCCCTCATCCCATAGGTGCCGGCGGAGGAGCGCGCTGAGAGCATGGGGCAGGGGCTACTGCTGCGTGGACTTCAGCGCCAGGACTCAGGCGTGTACCTGTGCACCGCCGTAGAGCAAGGCTTTTCGCAGCCACTCCGTCGCCTCGAGCTGCACGTTCTGACCGCTACGCAGGCTGAGCAGCTGGCGCGTGCCGAAGAGGCTGCGCCCCCAGCGCCCCCGGGCCCTAAACTGTGGTACCGAGACTTTCTGCAGCTGGTGGAGCCCGGCGGTGGTGGCGGCGGTGGCGCGAGCTCCCTGCGCATGTGCCGACCGCAGCCCTTGCTTCGAGTCCCGGGGTCCAAGTCGCGCCGGAAGGGCCGCAACCGGCGGATGCACGCTTCCGAGCCTCGTGCCGAGAGGGGGCCCCGCAGCGCAAAACACTGGTGACTGGGTTGTCCCCACGCGGGGACCAGGCAGGAGAAGACAGGCCAGAGAGGGGGCAGACAAGCCCCAGGAAGACAAATGGGCTGGAGCTGGGCACACCATGGTCCCCGGACCAATGGAGACACCGAACAACAAGCCCCTGGCGGAAGGGCAGCCGCGCCGGCTTATTTATTATTAACAGGATAACCCTTGAATGTAGCCCCAGAAGGGCGGCCCAGGCCGGGTGCAGAATCTGGCCCAGAGAGAGGGAACAGAGAAGCAGGGCTCCAGAGCAACGACCAGGGCCAGGGAGGTGCCCTGAGTGCCCACCCTGGTGGAGGGATTCCCCTCCTGGCATTGAGCATAAGGCTGTGAACAAGCTGGGCCATAGAGGGCGGGATGGGGCAGGCTGACTGTACTAAAGTAATGCAATAAACACTTTATCAGCTGAAGCTGGAATGGCCACAGCAGAGGAACGCTATTCTTAGAATTTGCTATGTGGTCTTGGGCATCTAGCTAGCAGTCTCAGAGACCGAAGTTTCTCCTGTCCAGGATTGCTATGGTGAGGATTTAAAGTGGCATATACAAAACCACGTTATGTACTTCATGCACAGTACAGTCTGTGTAATGTAATTTAAGGGCTAAGTGAACCAGAAGTGGTGATACATGCCTGTAATACCAGCACTCGGGAGGCTGAGGCAGGAGGATCTCCAATTCCAGTCCAGCCTGGGCAGCATGGTGAGATCTTGTCTTTTTTTTTTTTTTTTTTTTTTTGGTACTGGGGATCCAACTTGGGTCCTTCCGATTTCGAGGCAGGCAGCAGAACCACTAAGCTAAATCCCAGGGGAGATCTTGCCTTTTAAAAAAGAAGAAAAAAGGCTAAGTACTGCATTCTGAAAAAAACAAAATTGGGTGATGTGGAAAATAATGTGAAAAGGTGACATGTGAGCTGAAAGACAAGGAGCCAGCCATAAGACTGCCTGAGGGTAGGGGGCAGAGCACCCCAGAAGAAAACAGCCCTGGACAGGGGAACACAGTTACCAGGTTTGAGGAGCACCAAGGGGCTGATGTGATACAGTGCAGAGATGGATCTGGCACCTCTGAGAAGCAGAACCCACAGGCTTGCTTTGCCACCATTAGGAAGCAAGGCCCCAGCAGGCCACTCAGGGAGGGCTGGAAGCCGGACCACCTTCTCCTAAGGGTGAGCAGTGCTGTGCAGCCTTGAACAACCTGTGGGACCTGTATGTCCTGTTCGGAGGAGAGGTGGAGGAACAGTGCCTGATCCCAAGAGCTTCAGACACTTGGCTGTATCTGTTCTCAGTGTGCTGTGCCAGGGAGGAACCACTCACTGTTCTTCTGCAGAGAACTCTTTTCCTACAGAGGAGAAGATGGAAACAGAGAGGACTGATCCTTTACCTAAGTTTGTAAACTTAGTAGAAGTACCAAATTGGACACAATGGCACACGCCTATAATCTCAGTGCTTTGGGAGGCTGAGGCAGGATGATTGAAAATTTGACCCACCCTTGGGCAACTTACGACTTAGTGATATTCTTATCTCAAGATAAAAAATAAAAAGGGCCGGGGTGTAGCTCATTACCAAGGCCCTGGGTTCAATCTCCAGGACAACAAAATAAAAACTACTGTATTATAGTAGAAACACCAGCCTCCAACCCACCTTGAGTGTCAGCAAGACATGGCCAGCATGTGTGTGGCTAGCATGTGAGCATCATGTGTGCATACGTATGGATACCTACTTGTGGGGCTACTGGATCCCCGATGGCACTGGGCTTCAGTTGTGCCCCTACCCCCAAGTCCCTGGTGCTTGCAGTAACACAGTAGTGGGTGCTTGTGCAGCTTTTGTTGGGAGATAACTGGACTATGGGTAAGGGTCTACAGGGGTGAGGTGTGATTGAGTAGCAATGTACAAGGGCTTTTTTCTTTATTTTTTTGATACAGGGGATTGAAGTCAGGACCTTGTGCTTGTAGGGCAGGCAGCAGAACCACTAAACTGAATCCCTGGCCCTTTCCTCTTCTTTTTTGGTACCAGGGAGCAAACCTAGGGCCTTGTGCATGCTCCACCATGAGCTGCTTCTCTAGCTCCCCCTTTTATTTTTTATATATGTTTGTTTTAAATATTGAGAAAAGCTCCCCAGTACAAAAAAAAAAAAAAGATGTATATCAAGATACATTTTAAATGGGCCGGGGATTTGGCTCAGTGGTTTTTGCCGTCTGCTGCACAAGTGTGAGGACCCGAGTTCGAGCCCTGGTACCAAAAAAAAATTTGAGAAAAACTGGGCATGGTGGTACATGACTATAATCCCAGCATTCAGGAGGCTGAGGTGGGAGGATCACTTCGAGTTCAAGGCTAGCCTAGACTACATAGTGAGTTAAAGACTAGCATGAGGGCCAGGGATTTAGCTCAGTGGCACCATGCCTGCCCAGCAAGCACAGAGTCCTGAGTTCAATCTCCAGTACTGAGAAAAAAAAAAAAAGACTAGCGTGAACTACATAGTGAGACCCTATCTTAAAAATCCATAAATAAATAAATAAATAAATAAATAAGAGACAAGACCTCAGGTGGTCCAGGCTGGCCTTAAACTTGCCATCCTTTTATCTCAGCCTTCTCAGTACCTGGGATTACAGTTGTGTGCCCTCATGTCTGGCTGGGTCTCCTTTTATGTCATGGCTGCCACAGGTATTGCTGCTACAGGCTGAGCTTGAGGTGGCTGTTCTGTAATCTTTGTTGTTTTTTAAAATTTTTTTTGGTACTGGGGATCGAACTTGGGACCTTGCACTTGCGAGGCAGGCACCGGAACCACTGAGCTAAATCCTCAGCCCATGGTGGCTGTTCTGGATAAAAGCCCCAGCCCTGTGTATAAATAGGGGTGGAATGGTTCCCTGAAGAGGTCACTGTATTGGTGGAGCTCTTGGCTGAGCTAAGTCACCAGGTAGATAGTCTAGGCTGGTGGCGGCAAACCTATGACACATGTGCTACAGCATGCTGTTACCACTGAAAGATCTAAAAGGTTTGGCAGCACTGGTCTAGGCTGACACATGTGTCACTCTGCCCCTTCTCAGGGCTGAGAGCTGTCCCTTCTAAATATAGCCCAGTGGGCTGAGCTCAGGCTTATTTTAAGCCCAGGTTGGGAGGTGGCCAGGCCTTCCCGAGCTCCCAGAGGAGCCACTGATGCCTTCGTCCACGCCTGCTACTGGGCACCCTCATCGGCTCTGACTCTCCACCAACTTAATTGCCATGCCTGAGGAGACCCAAGAAGGTAGGAGAGGGTGACCATGAGGGTGGGCAAGGCCCGTCTTGTGACCTTGTGGGCCACAAAGACCCAACCTCTGGGCCACTGACTTCACTGTCTTTTCTAGTCATCAGTTTTCATGTCCCACCTCTAGAAAGGGAACTACCCCTGTGCATGGAGAAAGAGCCTGGCATATCTGGAACCCCTCTCTACCTCAGGCCACACTTGTTTGTTCTGCTGTGGATACCAGGACACCAGGAAGCTCCCCACTTTAGGAATGGGTCAACTACAGGCTGTGACCAAGTGGGTGTGGGCATCTGCTTGGCCAGTTCATTTTTTTTTGTCAGTACTAGGGAATGAACTGAAGGAGTGCTGACCTATATCCCCAGTCCTTTTTATTTTTGAGAGAGGGTCTCAGTAAGTTGCTAAGGCTGACCTCAGACTTGTGATCCTCCTACTTAAACCTCCCAAGTAGCTGAGATTACAGGCATGTGCCACCATGCCTAGCCTTTACTCTTTTTTCAAGGAGGAAACTAGGAATGGGACTGGGCATTTGGACACCTGGCCTGGGAACCAAGAAGTAGGCAGGGTTTTGTCCTTCCCCAGTTTGGGTCTAAATAGCTCCAGTTGGTCAAGAGCTTGGTGGCTAAGCACATAACTATTCCACTGTATATAGGAAGCACCAAGTTGGGTATGGTGGCACATATCTGTAATCCCAGCACTCTGGGAGCCCATTTTGGGAAACATAGCACAGGCCTGTCTCAAATTTTAAAAGGCTGAGGATGTAGCTCAGTGTAAAGACCCTGATTCAATCCCCAGCATGTGTACACACACACACACAAAGTGAGTAAAGCACAACAGAGTGCAAGGAGAGTATTTAATATAATATGACCTTCATTCTACCAACAGCCTAGACTGCCAGCATGTTTTTTACTTACTTTTGAGGATGCCTTGGCAGCAGCTTCAAGCCGTTTATGAAGGTTGAGTTACTGTCCTGAGAGTGTTACAGCTGCTGCCTTTATCAGGAAATATCCCCCTGGTTTCTTCCCCACTGTAATCTAGCACTTGGGCATCTGGAGCTCTTACTGGGCCAAGATTTTTAAAAATCAAGTCAAAGAACACCAGATGAAAATATAATTATTTATTTTTTGAGGCAGGGTCTCCCTTTGTAGTTCAGGCTGGCCTAAACTATGTAGCCCAGGCTGGCCTCAAACTCACAGTGATCCTCCTGCCTCACCCTCCCGAGTGCTGGGATTACAGGCATGTGCCACCACGCCTGGCAGAAAATGTAATTATTTAGAAACCAGATAGGTATGGTGGTGTATGCCTGTGATCCCAGGACTCAGGAGGCTGAGTTTGAAGCCAGCCTGAGCTACATAGTGAGTTCAAGACCAGCCTAAACTACATAATGAGACCCTGTCTCAAAAAACCCAAAAGGAATCATAAAACACTGATGGTACTCCTGAGGCTGTGGTGGGAAGGTTACTTCAACACACAAGTTTGGGGCCAGACTGGGAAATTTAGCGAGATTTCAAAAAACACAAATAACTTTGTAATGAATAAATACAGCCACAAGGAAAGTACACAGACTCCAGTGACTAAATAGGCAGAAACTGAAATGGATAATTAAAGCCATACACATATTGTTCAAGCTTCTTAGGCAATATAACCAAATCAAATCAATCAAGGTTATTTTTTTTTCAATCAAGGTTATTTTGACAGCATAGTGGCAGACATCTGTAAATCAGGTACTCTGGAGGCTAGGGCAGGAGGATTTTGAAGTTCAAGGCCAGCCTGAGAAACTTGAGACCATGTGTCAACAATGAAAAAAGGGGGCCGCGGATTTAGCTCAGTGGTTCCACCACCTGCCTCACAAGCAGAAGGACCCGAGTTCAATCTCTGGTACAAAAAAAAAATGAAAAAAGGGCTAGGAATGTGGCTAAGCACTATGGGTTCAGTCCCCAGTGTCAGCCAGGCATGGTGGTGCATGCCTGTAATCCCAGCACTCAGAAGGCTGAGGCAGGAAGACTGCTGTGAGTTCAAGGCCAGCCTGGGGTATATAGTGAATGCAAGGCCAGCCTGCACTACAAAGTGAGATGCTGTCTCAAACGAAACAATCCCAGTACCACTAAAAAAAAAATTTTTTTTTACTTCTCAAATTAGCAAATACATACACACATGTATGAATATTATAAACTGTTTCTCATCCCAGCACTTGGGAAACTGAGACAGAATTACTGGGAGTTCAAGGCCAGTCTGGGCTATATAGTGAGTTCAAGGTAAGCCTGAGCCACATATAGCGAGACCCTGCTTCCCCCACCAAATTCTCAGTGGATACCTACCTGATGGTGGTGTTGTACCCTGTTGAGGGCTATATACATACTTTTTTTTTTTTGGTACCGGGGATCAAACTTGGGACCTTGTGCTTGCAAGGCAGGTGCCAGAACCACTGAGCTAAATCTCCGGCCCTATATACACACTTCTCAAGGACAATTTTATGAGTTTTACCCCTGCTCTTGGATTGAGTAATTCCACTTCTTAGAACTAATGACTGTTGTAAAATTGTGAAAAACTTCATATTCAATGATAAGATGTCCTTATGGCTGATTTCCAAAGGGAACTGGAAATAACCTAAATGTCCAGGCAGTCTCAGAGGGTTTTAGGGGAACCCTCTACAAAAGCCCCACTATGTCCACCCTCTTCAAGTCCCTACTGCCCAAGGCTACCTGGGACCAAGGAAGGGGTGATCTGCTTGCTGAATGAGCCCCATCACCCCTGCAGACACTGTGGCGCCAACATCGAGTCAGAAAAGCAGGGGGCCATTGGCTTCTAACCATGTGTCCGAGGTGCGGCTACACCGAGTGGAATCTATCAGCGACCTACACAGTGGAGGTGAGGGGCTAAGGGAAGGATGTACTGTGCAGGGGGAAGAAAGTCTGCCACCCTCCTGATATCCCCCTACTCCACAGGCTTGCCACACCCGTATCTGCCTGAAGAGGCACGGCCATGGGATGAATTGCTGGGTGTCTTGCCGCCGTCGCTGTGTGCCCAAGGTGGCTGCAGTACAGTGTGTGGCCGTGGGGGGTTCCTGCTGCTGCTGGCACTGCTAGTGCTCACTTGCCTGGCACTCGCCATCCTGGCTGTCTACTTGAGCGGTAGGGACAGGAAGGGCAGGTGGGGACCAGCAGGTACTGGGAGGCCCTTTGGAAGGAGCAACTGCAGATGTTGTAGCAGTGAAGGGCGGGATTCAGTGGGCAGCCTGCTGCCGGGTGGTGGAGCAGGTCTGAGGCAGCACTGATCTGACAAGGTCCCACAAACACCTGCCCATCCCCAGTGCTACAGAGTGAATCCCTTCGGGTCCTGGCACACACACTGCGCACACAGGAGGAGATATTGCTCAAGCTTCGACTGGCCAGCCTCAGCCAGCTCCGGAGGCTCAACTCCAGCGAAGCCCGAGCACCCAGCTGAAACTCCACTTGGACTGGGGCATAGGGGGTCTGGGGGGAATAAAGCAGCTGTTGGCAGATCTCTCCTCCCACTATTGGTCTACACCACTTCCTTGATGAGATTTTTGTACAAGAGACTGATGTGACTTCACAGTCACCGACCTCTCCTGATTATCTTCAGGCCAGATCTAGCCAAGCCTTCTGGTACCAGGCCGTGTGGGCTGAGCCAAGGTCAAAGGATGGGGCACCAGCCTCCTGGCTTCTCCTGTGGCCTGTGCAAATCCTCTGGCCACTTCTAGATAGCAGGGTAAGAAGTCTAGAAATAGCTGCCTCACTGCAGCCACCTACCCTGCCAGGCCTCTCTGCAGGAGTCCAGCCTCAGGTCTCAAAGACAGGCTGGGCTTTGAGTTGGGTACCCCCCGACCCCACCCCAGGATACACTGCCTTGAAGGGCAGAGATGAGGTCCTACTGGGCCCAAGAATGGTATCCTGGATGGAAGGGAGGGTGGGCAAAAATTCCCAGGAGTCAGGTCCACAGAGGCAGAACATTATATTCTATTTAATTATCTCTTATAATCTTTAAAAATCAGCACAAAAAATCCATTCCAAGTAGCTTTGCCTCCCCACTTGACATGACGGCATCTGCCCAGATGCCAATACTCCAAAGAAGTGGGGCACTCCAGAGGAGCAAGGCATAAGAAAGGAAAGGAACAGTCCCCTACTGCCTGCCCCACAGCCCTGGGACAGGCACTCATTTGGTCCTGCCTGAGATAGGGCAGGAACAAGCCACAGGGCTGAGTGCAGGGACAAAGGGCACAGTCCCTTACCCCCACTCACCCACCCTGTTTTTGGTTTTGTCTTTAAAAAAAATAATAAAGTGACAATCACTGGCAAACACCAGTTCTTGCATTGTCTTCTGTTCAAAATACAGGCAAGGGTGTGGATAATCTGTCTTCAGCTAGTTCATTTCACAGGATATCTGCCCGTTTGTCCCGCACACGGCTTCGAGCCTTGGTCCGGGCTTTGAAGGCAGCAGCATTGTACAGGTGCTACAGGGGAGAAAAGGGGTGAGATATGGTGAATTGGGGAGAAGAAAGCCCAAGCCTCCTTCTGCAGCCCCTATAGAGCAGGAGGCCTCCAGGAATTGGGGATGCAAGAGAAATAAAGATGTCCAAGGATGCAAACCTTTTCAAAACGTGAAACTTTATAGGCCTTCAGAGTAGTGGCATCCAGTACCAGCACAGGGCCCAAGCCAAAGATGTCACGGAGAAGCTCATTATTCTGGGGACAGAAAAGGCAATGAACCTAGTCCATTCCAAAGCAGCCAAGCTGGGGAGCCCTCCCTGCCCATTCCCCCACCTGCAGGTGGTGGTGCATGCCCGAACCCAGCACATCCTTGAAGGCAGCATAGATCCGGTGCCGAGCCCAGCTGTCCACGTAAAGCATTTCCAGTCCAAACCGGATCATCTCTTCCTCACATTCACCACCCTGCAGGGTAGAGGGGCCCACAGCTGGGCTTGGCTGTTATGCCTGGGGCTGCACTCTTGCTAGGACACACATGTTCTCACACACACCTCAACAAAATGCAGCACGGCACGGAAAGTAGAACGCTGGCGCCGGCGGTCAGCTTTGGCACGGTACTTGTTGCTATCTGTGGCTAGAGTCCGCAGTGTACCACAGAGGGCCTCCATGTCCTCATAAACAAACTCCTCCTGTGTGGGAGCAATGGAGGTACAAGGCAGAAGCTTAAACTCTGCTATCAACATGGGATTGCCCAAAGCCTTCCTTTCTAATAGTTCTCTTCTCTTCTGCCTGGCTCCTCTCAACCCCTCTTTGGCCTCCACCTGCACAGGACACTTCTGCTCAGGGTCCCCATAACACTTAGTATAAGTCAGTGTTGGGGCCACTTCTCCTATATAATGACCTATATAAGACTGCTCTGTATTCTGTGGCACACTCTGCCTGCATCCAGCCTGGGATGGGCAGTAGCACCAGGAGGCACCCCCCCTCACCCCGCCCATCCTTGCACCTCAAGGTCCCGGGCGAGCTCAAAGAGCAGTGCGATGGTTTCACCAGCAGCAATCCGCAGGTTCACATTTTCACTGGATAAGAGCTGAGGCAGCTGGGGCAGTTGCCTGGAGAAGGAGCAGGCTAAGCTACATGTGTAGGTTGGGGGCCCCTTCATGATCACCTCCCACTCCCAGTAGGCAGCTACCCTCACCTGTCAAGGATGTGGCTGATGTGGGTGCTGGGGCAGAGAGTAAGCAACAACCCCCAGGCCTGCAGGGCAGCACAGAGCAGGCCATGCAAGCTGGCAGAGACCACAGGAGCTGTGGAGCCATCTGTGCTGCAGGACTGGCTGAAAACACCTTCTAAGCAGGCAAGGCAAGAGACCAGGTCCTAAGAACACAGGGGAACAGGAAAATGGCTCAGGGACAGAGCTAGGGCCCCAGGTGTTCTACTACCTGTGTCCAAAGGGCCACTCACCTGGATGTCGGCAGCAGCCACGTAGCACCCCAAGCCAAGAGTAGAAGCACACTGTTGGAAGACCAAAGCTAGGCCATGCTCAGGGGTCAGTCTGGGTTCCCAGACATGGGGCTCACTCCCCCTCAGCGTAGGGAGCCTGAAGACAGGTGGAACCCACCACTCTGCTTAGGGATAAGGTAGAGGAAGGGTTTCACAGGGCATGGGAACACTTACGTGAAGCCGGGCAGTGGGGCTTGCTGTGCTGTCACTGAGCACAGAGACTAGCAGGGGCTGCAGAGTGCGGAACAGCTCCTCGCCCTTGGGTCCAGGGCCCAGCTGCACACAGAGCAGGCCTAGCACAGCAGCAGCCAGGGCTTGTTCTTCACCTTTCCCTACAGAATGCTTTCTAGTCAGCCCTTGCAGTAAGGGTCAGCATCTGCCCAGTTAAGGTCCTCCACACACTCCAGGCCCTGACCTTTCTTGAGGCACTTTTCCAAGGCATCAGCCAGTGTGAGGCGGCGTTCTAGCAGGAAGTCAGGGAGCAGGCGGGAAGCCAGGGCCAAGCGCAGGCTCTCCAGAGCTCCTTGCCGGGTCTTGGCACTAAGGGTAGAGAAAGGAGGGTCATGTGGGCCAGCCCTCCTTTGGTCACACTTGGCATGGGTTGAGTAAGGCCCTGGATATAGGAGTAGGCTGGCAGGCAGGGGTACCTCTTATTTGTAAGGCAGTCCACATATTCTTTCAGCTTTTCTTCAAGATCTTCCTGCTGGCCCTGTTCATCCACAGCATCCCCCCCTGCAAGGCCAGCAGATCAGCACTGCTTCTTGCCCTAGCCCAATGGAGCCCTGCCAAATGGCTACCTGCTCTTACCCAGGCTGTCCTCTGCTGTGGTGCTGAGAAGGCTGGGACATTCGCTAGTGGTACTGCGGGCCTCACTGGCTGCCTCATCCTCACTGGAACCTGAGTGAGCTTGGGTACTACACCGGGCACCTGGGGAGTGTATGTTAAGTCACTCAGCCTGCTTCCACTGATGAGGGCTGGCTTGGGGGTACTTCCCTCAACCACACAACCCCACAAAACAGAATGCTGCCCCTTCTCAGAGATGAGAAAATCAAAGCTGAAGTAGGCAGTACAGTGGCTGATGCAGGGGACTTGCAGCAGTAAGCAGGAAAAAAAGAAGATTCATCTGCAAGAGTGTTAGGTACTAGGCCCAGCTTAGGGATAACCTGGCAGGCTTGGCAGACAGTGCCTTTCTAAGGCCAGAAAGTATTTTAGGTAGAAGCTGGGAGTTAGTAAAAGTAGAAGGGAAAGGCTGCAGTTGTTCCACCTAGGTTTGCGGCCTGGCCTGCATTATGCCCCAAAGTGGGCATAATTAGGGATTAGATATAGAGTTCAGCAGATTGGGATTCAAATCCCAACTCTAACTTTTTTTCCCCTAGCACTGGAAAGCAAACCCAGGGCCTCATGCATGCTAGGGAAGTACTCGAACTCAGCACCTTGCACTTTCGAGGCAGGTGGCAGAACCACTGAGCCAAATCCCGGCCCACCACTCCACATTTTAACAGATGTAGAACTGGGTCAGTTGTGCAGGTTTTAAGACCTCAATTTCCTTATTATTATTATTGTCTGGTTTAAATGTAGCCCGGGCTGTCCTTGAACTTGTGGCAATCCTCCTGCCTCAGCCTCCCAAGTGCTAGGATTATAGATGTGCACCATCACGCCAGGCTGAAGCCTCAGTTTCTCTATATGCAGAGAGCAAAAGCACCTCTTTCAGGGGGAGCAGGTGAAGACAAATGATTTGTTATGTATGGCTTTACTTCAGGCCAACAAACTCATCAAGCCACCTATCAGAACTGGACACAGAAGCCCAGTTCCCACTGGGTATGCTGGGTGCCCCATATTTTAAGTATATTGTCTTCTGAGCGTCCTCTGATCCATCCAAGGTCTTCAGCACTGGGTGGATAGACACACTGGCTCCTTCTGACCCTGAAAGAGGCTCTGACTGTGTGAGCCCCTGAAAACAGGTGAACACAGGGAAGTTTCAAGGCAGCAAAGCTAGAGCACTCTGGTGTGTGGGTGCTGTCCAGGGCCATGGGTGGACTTTGGCAAGTGTGGCTACTGTGGTGGAGCCTTGAGTTTCTGATCACCAGGCTGGCCCTACTTGTCTGGAACTACTTAAACTCCTTGCCTGCTGGGAATGTAGCTCAGTGGCGGTGCACCTGCCTGGCAAACACAAGGTCCCGAGTTCAATCCCCCGTACCATACACACACAAAGTCTTTAAACTCCTTGCCTGCAGGAAAATGTCTAGCCATCACAATGGCCACTGCTCATTTTTTTTACAACCCTACCGGCTAAAGCTGCCCAGCTTCCCCTTGTTTGGTCCACAGTGTCCCTTCCAGTGCACCTACCAGGCTTTTATACAACATGTTCTTTGCACGGGGTTCTCTTCACCTTCTCAGGACTCACCTGGACGCCCCTCCCATGGGGTCTCCTAGGTTCCTAAGCGTGGGGCTGACACCACTCTGAACAGTTTCAGCACCAGTATGTCGTGTTGTCACTACACTATTAAAAGCCACCCTGGGCCGGGGATTTAGCTCAGTGGTTCCGGCGCCTGCCACACAAGTGCAAGGTCCCGAGTTTGATCTCCAGTACCAAAAAAAAAAAA